ATTTCTCTTGCTGGTGGTGGCTACAGGGCTCTGCAGGCAGAGCGATCGAGAGAGCAAAATGTTCTGAGCAAGCAGCTCAAAAGAAATGTGAGTTTTCTTCTAAAATCTGGGTCCGTGTTAATGCATAAAGATCAGCTCTAGTTCCAAAATAGCTGCACGGGGCTTTGTGAAAGTCAGCAAGCTCCGGCTGTGAAGTCAGCCGCCCAGCATGGACCAAGTTAGAGAGGGGTACGTGGAGCATTTGATCATTTGGCCTTTTTCTTGTGTAGCCACAAAGATAAAATACCCTCATACTGCTCTAAGCCTATCACAGGGCAAACTAAGCCGGGCAGCCAGGGCGGGATTTGCTTCGGTTTGCAGAAACCTTTGCAAACAAGAGAATTAAAACCTTGTCCCCATCCCGAGTGTGTGGCCTGGGCTTCATCCATTCAGTGCTGTTAAACCCGCGCCTTGCGGTTTAAAACAGCTGGTTTCTGTGCAGAGGTGACTTCTTCAAAGCAAACCGGGACACCCTTTGGGGAGCAACTCTTTGATGTGATTTCCTAAATGAATTTTTTGAGGTTGTTTTGTTGTGTTCAAACGTAGAGGTCAGAGTCTGAGTTTCAGCGAACTGCCCAGGTTTGGTTCTCTGGAGGAGGTTGCTCAGTGGATGTTGTCCCACGTGGGGATGAGGATGAGGGATGTCCTGAGGGGCAGAGAAATATCTTAGGAGACCTTAGGGATCAACTCCCTCCTGTCATAGCCTCCCCAATGTCCTCAATCTCCCTGTGGAGACCCAGACTGCAGCTCTCCCTTGGTGTATTGGAAAACACCTCCCTGAAAGGTTTTTTTAGAGGAACCACAACTCAATTTTTGGTCTGCCTGCTCTTCCCAGCAAAAGGAAAATAGTGAAGGATTTAGAGTAGAGTCCATCTAAAAGTCTGTCAAAGAGCCACCTCCAAAAATGCTGGGAGTTCAGGGAAGTGGGTTTTGTGGAAATTGTGCAACAAGCGGCTCAGCTCTGTCGTCCACAAGAGAAGAGACTAGCGTGGGTCTAGGTGAAGGCAGCAATCACAGCCCAAACCACCTGCCCCCAGCTCACAGTGATGAGCGTGGAACCGTTTCGTGCTGTCTTTTCTAGTAAGAATGTCAACTGCTGCCTTCCTTTCCTGAACTCCAGTCATTCTCCCAAGCCAGTTTACAAACCTTCTCCTTTCACTCGTGTGGATTTATACGGCCCTGAGTGTGGAAATTTTGCAGCTCCCCGAGCCTGTCCTGATTCCTGCAGGAGAGGACAAGGGGCAGGAGGGATGGAGGGAGGACCACCAGCTACAATTTGAATCTCATCCCTAGCCTCTTGCTGGCAGTATCCTGTGACTGCCACATCATGGCAATCGTGATGTAACCTTGGAGAAGAGTCAAGTGACAAATCCCAAGGCAACCCACAAATGCTGAGGGAGAAGGAAGGGGTGGAGGGGAGGGTATGAGACACAGCCTCGCAGCTCCATGCTCTGCCTTTCCGTGTTGGAGATGTCTGTCCTGGGGGTTGAGAAATGGAACAGTGCTGGGAAGGGGGAAAGCAGCAGTTGTAACTTCTTTAGAAGTTATTTCACATGATTCAGGGTAGTCGGTTGTCATTTATTGTAGCCTAAAGCATGAAATTAATTTTGGCATATAGGCCTGTGACTAGAGGATGAGCTATTTCTCCTTGTTAGAAACGTACCCTTATGTCTGCAGTAACATTTTTTTTTTTTCTCTGAACGACTGTGTGCCGGTTGTAAATCTCAGCAGAAGTAGCACAAGTTGAGAAAGTGCAGGAGCAAGTCCATTTTTTTGCTGCAGTTTGGAATTAAGATCACATTTCAATTGTGGTTATTTTGCATTATTACTGTGCAATAGAGCAGGGAGAAGGCAGGATTTCCAGAGAAGTCCTGCAGGACCAGAGCAAAGCAGCATCCAAATGACTGCCAAAGTCTGAATTGTGCTATTTAATTCCAGATAACTTCATTTCCTTCACCAGACTGACTCCTGAGCTAACTTCTAAATAACACCTGAGATATTTAAGAATATAAATTGTAAGTCCTGGATCTTGCAGCTGATAGAAAACAGGAAAGCTGCCATCTGACTCTGGAAACCCAAAGGGTATCCCCAGATGTCACCTGGACCCCACAGTGCTGCATTTGCCAGCAGCCGCAGGGTATCCCAAATTAATACTGTAACACAAGCACAGGAGCTACGTGAACATGTTGCGTTGTCACATTGAGCTAGTTTTGCAGAAATATCTTTCTTTCAGACTCATCCGAAGTCTCAACACTCTACGTGATTTTAAGTACAATGATTTTTCTGTCAAAAATAAACTCTGCTCTCAAAATAATTAGCACATCATCAGTTGGAAATAAGCCTCATCTCGAGTGAAAGAAAGGAGTTATGTGGGTTATTTTTAAATAGCACAACAATATATGCTATAGAAAAAAAAAAAAACAAAACAAAAAAAAACCCAAACACATCGCTTAAATTATTTACATTATTTACACTATTCTCCTGAACTGCATCTTCAAAAACATGTTTTTAAAAAACGGTATTACTAATTGAGGGATTTTTTTTTTGAAGAGTATTTTTTAAAGTTTTTGGAGAGCTGGTTAAATGCTGAAAATAACCTCAAACCGTATCACAGAATTATTTGTTGTCTTCCTGGGGTTCAGATCATGTGTAGAGTTTGGACCAGTGTAAGCGCCTTCCTGGGGTGGGCGAGCATCTCCTCACAAGAGCAGATCCAGGGCAGTCAGACTTCAATAATGTGGGGAATCAACCATCTGGCCCCAAACAAATCGACTTACAGCCTGATCCCTCAGCCCTCCGTGGGTGTCATTTTACTCCTGCGAGTAGCCCAAACACATCTACTCGTGCACGTAGGGAGATGCCCTGCGTGTAAGGAGGTCACGGTGAAAAACATTGCACTTGGAGATGGAAACTGGGTGAGGGACAGTGCGAAACCAGACGGTGTTTCACGCCGTGGCTTATACCCACCAGCAGGGTCTGGAGGCTTCTGCACGAGGTTCGCTGGTGAAAAGAATCGTTTCAAAACTCAAAGCTCGTCCCCTCAGTTTATAAACCGAAACTCCCCCGTGTATCCCCAGGACGGATGTGGGGCTTCGGGGGGCACCTCCACCTGCGCCCCTCCGCGTTGCAGCGAAGGACAAGCAAGACGGGGTAAGATCAGGCCCGAGCTCTGCGCCGAAGCCTGACCCTTTGTTTCGGCGGTGTCTCTGTTGGTGACAGATGGTGATGCTGTCCTGGTGAATTTGTTACCTTCTCGATGACATGCAATATGTCTGCATCCTGACAGTGAGAGGAGAGACTCCAGCTGTCCCTCCAGTAATTGACAGCAAGGAGCTGTTTTCACTTTTGACAGAGCTAAGAAGCATTAGCATCATATTGGCTACTAGGAGGGGTTTTATTATTATGTTTATCATCTGAGAAAAGTCATTGTGATGTGGGACTGGGTGGGTTGTGGTTTGGTTGGTTGTTTTTTTTTTTTACTACTTTGCTCCTGTAGCCGCCTGGTCCTCCCATTGCAAACTGTCGCATGCTCCAGCGGAAAAGAAAGGGAAGGAAATGTGGGCTCCAGCCACCTCATCCCCAAACAAGCCCCACTCCTCTCACGCTGATCAAAATGACAAAATCCCACCTCCTTTCTTCAGAAGCGGTGGGGGAGGCAGGAGAGGAAGGATTATTTTAGGATAATAAAAGTGCAGAAACAACGTTGCTGAGGTTAGTTGGGAAGAGGTTCTGTCCTTCCTGCACGCCTGATGCCTGCTGAAGTCACTACTTGCTGTCAGAGTTTTGGTCAGAATCCTTCGCTCATTGGAAAAGAGAAATAAAATAATCTTGCTTTTCTCTTAGCTTTAGGCTACGCTGGCTGGCATTCTGGATGATTTATGTCCGGTTTGCTTCCCTCTCACTCTTCCCAGCTCACACACGTACCCCTCGCTAGCAATAAAGGGCACCTCTCCCATAGCCTCATGGACTCTGCAGCAGTCTTCACACTATAATAAGTCCTTAATAAGATTGGGGGAGTAAAATCAACTCTGAGCACATAAGTCACAAAGACATCCATACAACAAAGATTCATCCCTCAATTAGATTCGAGCTGACCTAAAACAAAGGTTGGGTCTCATTGCAGATCTAGCAATAGCAAAACTACTGAGAGAAGTAGACGCTTCAGAGAGCAATGAGTATTTCCCATTGGTCCTACCAGTTGTAGTTCCCTGCGTGAAAACCACGCAGCATCACACTGCTGAAATTATATCAGAGGAAATAAGCCTGTGAAATTTATTCAGGGTGTTCACACGATCATATCTATTGAACCTTCAATGTCTTCCAGATAGAGAGATGAGGGTCATCCAAGCTTTTAGGCCACTCTGGGTTTGTCTAGCACCATGGGACACCGGTCCCTGTACCGGAGGGTGCTGATATCAGACTGCTGTTTCATGTTGGATTGATGAAAATCTAAGCATGAGAAAGCAAATACAACCCAGCAAAACCTTCTCAAAAGGAAGGTTTCACCCGGCACAGTAACCAGCCCAGCACTGCTTCTGTATTTTCTGGTCTGTGGAGCGGGGCATCAGCACAGACGGGGCATTCACGTGGGCTCTGGCAGCAAGGAAGGGCCAGAGCCATGAGCGCTCCGTGCTGCTCAAACAAATTTACCTCTTCAAGAAGAACCCAAACTTCAGCAGTTGCTCATCACAGAGCATCTGTTCAATTCTCGTTTCAAACTATTTCAAGGCTGGGCATAATATTTGAATATTAGAATCCCGCTATTTACACTGCACGTGTGACTTTGGAAATTCCCAGGGAATTTTTAAAATCTCCAAAGTGACTTCTGTGGATTTCCGAGGGAAATAAATAGTCTGAACAAATAAAATACATGGGTTCTGCCAGATGTACAAAAAGTCCTTCAAAGTTTATTGAATTGTAATTCTGAATCTTTCTTTAAAGAAACACATCCTCAACTCTCATGTCCACAACCAGATCCTCTGAGAAAATAAATCCACAAAGTCAAAAATGCAAAAGGTATTTGTCAGCTCTGATTTATTATTAATCTAGGCATTTTAACAATGGTTGCTGCAATACTTGGCCAGTTCCTTCAAATGAGGATTGATTTTTAAGTCTCATTGAATACCTTTGCTGAAAGATCCTCTTCCCAGATAGCTTTAAATATGCAAGCATAGCACTCCACTGTGAGGCTGTTTTGTGCTGACTAAATTCTGAAGTAATCGATCTGAAAGCATGGCACTGACCTCAGAAATTAGCTGGCTTGGGAGCAGCATCAGACTCCTAAACTCATATCGGTGTTGACACAAGTGTGTGACAAAAACCCGAGGCAAGTTTAGTGCTAAGCAGAAAGCCCAATTGATGGTCCTGATCTGGGGCCAAAAGCTTGACTCATACTTTGGACCAGAGTTTGGAGGAGGGTAAGTTTTGCTTTCCAACCTTTTCATTCAGCAATTCCTGAGATCCGGAGCTTGATGCAAAAGAAATGAGAATATCTGTCTCTGTGCAGGCGTGGATGAATGAGTGTGCTGCTGTGCAGCAGTTTAGGGACCAGGATCAGGATCCACCCTGGAAAACCCGCTGCCTGGTTTAAGAGTGCAGTAGATGGATGCCATGGAAGCCCCATGTTATCTGTTACGTGCCTTTATGAGCTGATATTAAATTATTCCTATTCTTTTCAATACCGTGATATGTACTGCACCTTCCTGATTCCAGTTGTGAAAGAGAGTGAGGGAGAGGGCACGGGACCAAGAGCAAGGGGGAAATCCGCTGCGTAACCAGTATTTGTCAGAAACGGGAGTAATTGCTGCTCTTTGGTTTGATTTATTGAGGTAACAAAGGTTAATAACGATGCCACTCAGTTTATTCTATTCATTTTCATGTCATTACAACGTATCAGGCACGGTGCATGTTGCAGCTGGGCTAAGGACTGTGTCTCTCCCCGAGAGATGCTCCTTTCTTCCTCCTGTCCACCAAAGCCCCTTGCTGGGGTGGGCTGGGGGCTTGGAGCAGAGCTGGAGCGTGTCTGCACTGGGTGCTCGTCGCAAGTGTCGAAGGACTGTCTCACTCTTTGCATCTCAGAGGCCTGAAATTTTAGACAAAAATGACGGAAGGAGCTAGAATGAGCAGAAGTTAACGTGGGACCAACATATCGGAGCGATGCTTTGCTGAAAGCACGTAGGAGTGAGGGCAAGGGTGGGCAGCGAGGGGGTGGAAAGCAGCCTGCGACAGCAGATATCCCCACGGGATGCCCGAGGGATGGACGGGGCTTCTGTGGGAAGAGGTGGATAATGCAAAGGAGCCGTCTGTCATGCAAATGTGGTAGCATGAGGAGTATTCCTGGGTGAGCTCCCCAGTCGGCTCTGGGGGAGCAGGGACGGCTTTATGGTGGGATGCTGCTGCTCTGGCCCCTGGGGCTCTGCTGGGGAAGCCTCTTGCAAGGGGGAGCAGAAGGAGGGGCAGGAAGGAGAGCAGAGCAGGTTGGGATTACTTTGTTGTTTTGTTTAGGATTTGGCAAAAGCCAAAACCCACAACTGAGAAGTCTGAAAGAGAATGGCACTTCAAACTAAAGAGATTCTTTGTCCACTGATGAGGCTGCCGTGACCCAAGTCCTCACACCAGCTGCCCCCACCTGCGTGAATTTCGATTTATGATGTAGGGATTTAAAACACACTCCAAGCTGAGCCTTCATTTATCAGCAGCTTTCACTGAAACCGTCTCGTTCCTACCACAATCTTTTATTGCACAGAGCTATTTTAAGTGATCACAATATCTTCTCTGGGCTTGCAGAAAGAAGTCATCAAGTCTCGGAAAGTTAAAGGCAGTGTGCTTCCCTGCTGTTCAGGAGTCGGGGGTTGCTGCTGAGTTGTGTGCAAAGTGCTGCAGGATGCAAAGGGCCCGAGTTTCCAGAGTTGCTCAACACCCACAGCTCCCAGCAAACTGAAGCATTGCCACGAATCAAGTCAGTGCTGCAAGAAATCCATCAGACCTTTTTTTTTTTTCCCCCAGCACTGAACACCAGTGTCCACATGTCACAACCGTACAGATCCCCTCCCGTGGGCTTAACCCACATCCATCCTTCAGTTAACCTGCACCCAAACCTTTGCATCCTTTAAATCTCCTCCATGGCTCAAAGCCCCCCCCGAGGAGCGGGTGCATGGGCTGCTCTTTGTGTCAGAGAGGGTTAAAGAAAACCCAACATCTTGCTACAGATCGTCCCTCCCTTCCACCCACTTCGACGCTGGCAGTCTCACTCTGTTCTTTCATCCAAGTGGGCATCAGCACCAGCCCCATATTCATAAGTGTCAAGAGGTGTTGATGCACACTGCATACGGCAGTCGGCTGCTTTTGCCCACCCCGGAGACTAAATGCCTCGCACCTCCACTCGGCTGCTGGGACTTGGCTGGCTTTCAGATTTTAATTTTTAGAAGGACTTTGAAATTTTTCCAGCTCTCGCTCTCTCTCTCTCTCTGCTGTTTTTCACTGCTTGCTCAGTGAGGTACCTGGGCTGCTTTGTTCTCAGAAATGCATTGATAAATTAGCAGTCACAAGCTATGGCAAATGGTGCGTTTCTACATTGTTTTGACTATTCCCAGCTCCTGTTATAAGGCATGAGATGGACAGCAAAGGACAGCAGTGCCTGAAAGTGCTACAGAAGTGTCCATCTAACTGGTCCTGCTACAGTTAAGGGGAGAGGACGTGGATAAATTTAGCTAGAAAACAGCAGAGAAGGACACGCCTTCACCCACAGTGTTCAAAGTCCTAATGCTGACGGTGGAGCATCCAGCTCAGGTGTCAGCTCAGACCCCCCCAGCTGTTCGAGAGGTTGTCTCACCCAGAAATCTGCCTGCTGCAGATTTCCAAAAGGATCCTATGACAATTTTTGGTATTAAAAGAATTTTTGGTGTGGGTGAAAGTTTCTTTAGATGGGTTTTTTGAATACTTTGAAAATCCTCGAGCATTTTTTTGATGTTTTCTGACCCTTTGGGGGACAAGCCATCAGGGTGCGTGGGTTTTGATATCTCAGAGACATGACAGCAGCCATGGAGGAATATTAGAGCTAGTTAGTGCTGCCTGGCGTGGGACTAAGAGCAGAGCGGTAGGAGCTGAATGCAGCCCCACAACTCAGCCAGGAGTGGTTTGCTATATAGCCCAGTAAAGAGATCTGTTTTTACAGGTCTCTGAGCTAACTCATTTAAATCTTGGTCTGTAAGTCTTTGCTTCTTCGGGATACTGGCAGCCCTTCACGACTAGGTCCAAAGTTGCCTGAAGAATCAAGATTTTAGCTCTTCCAATTAAAAAAAGAAGTCTCACAGTAGTTTCCAAATATATTGGGTTGTGAGAGGCTGGGACAGAGTCCAGGGTTTGCAGCACTAACCCATCAGGCTTTAGCACCTGACATCTCTAGGCAGGAAAGCAGAAATCTGCTCACAAACCTCTTGCTCACCCATCAGCCCAAAGCAGGACCATGAACTCACGCTGTTGTAGGGTCCCAGTCTGTCCTGACTCTATCAGGCCTATAGGGACTTTCTACACTGTCACAAAACCAGCCCTGTGACACACGAGGTGGGATTCAGTTGCCTGAATATTGGTGTCTCTTGCCATTGGAGATGCCCTGAGGTGTCACCAGCTGCAGTTTTGATGGCTGGGGGTTACACATGGCTCCTGTGTTGTATTTGCCAGTCTCTCGAGGATGACTTGGTTATGCTACAGAGTATAAAATAGCCCTAAACCTCCAGGGTTGGAAGGCTGAACACCACTGAAGGAGCACACAAGGAGCCACAGGGGTGGCAGAGATGTGGGTTAAGGGGAGGAAGGCCCTTGGGGCCAGAGCACGCCGCTTGCTTTGCTTTGATGTGGCTGTATCTGTCACCTCCATCATCATCTTCATGTCTGAGGCTTCTGCTTTGCTACCCTGAGCCTCTCCCACTGTCACCATTTGGGCCCCGCTGCTGCATCTCCTGTTACTCGTTAGCATCCTTCTCCATTTCCAAAGCTGTTGTTTGTCGTGCTGCTGCAGCATCTTCACAGCACTCTGTTCTGCCCCTCTCTCCCCATCAGCCCCCAGGTATCACCCCCTCTTTTGCTGCAGTTCAAGGCAGAATTATTCATTTTCAGCCAGATCCAGGCTTGGTGCCTGCCAGGGGAGCTGGGGCTCTGGTGTTTTTCTGGAGGAGAGTTGTTCATTGCACAAACCCATCCCTCACTTCAGGTGCTACATGGCACCTCCAGTCGCTGCTTTCAGTGGAGAAGCCCAAGGGCTGAATGGACATAAAGAAACATAAGCTGAGGGTGTTTAGGTTCTTTCCAACATTTATTTTGAATCTTTGTGTATCCATTTTTCCTCTGCACTAGCTGTGAAACATTTTCCTTCAGATACCTCCCATTTCTCCAGAGAAAGGAGAAACCCTTTTTCGTTAACCTCATTGCAACTCTCAGCCTCTAAAACATACCTGTGGACATATGTTTGCCTTTCCTTTAGGGGGGGAAGTAAATAATTCCTCTTTCCCCCTCCAGGTCCCGTAGCGCGTTGCATTTGAACAAGACCTTGGGCTAGAGCAGGATGAGTCCCGCTGACCCAAGCTCAGCTCACGAATCGCTGGGTTCCTCCCAGCCCTCCCCCATCTTGCAATATCAAGGTCTTTCTTCTTTGTAGCAAGGTTAGGCTCTATATGTCTTAACCATATGCCCCAAGTGAGGAATTCATTAGCATTCATTATGCATTCATAAGAAACAAATGGGCAGAGGAGTGGGAGGTATTGCAATTCGTCTCAGCTGCTCCTTCACACCCGGCCTGGCGGGAGGGGTACCCGCCGAGCGCGGGCGCTGGGCCCCCGCCAACCCCACCTGCCCTCGCCATGCCGGCCCTCGCTCTGCCGCACGCGTGCGTGCACACCCGGCCCCCCTTGCACGCCCGCCCTTGCACGCGCTTCTCACACCGGTGGGTGATTTACAAGTTCTCAGCTGACAAGCCCCGTCCGCCTGTGTGAGTTCCCCATCGGTTCATTTAACTCTACAACATAAGCTGATTACGGAGGGAAAAGGCTGAAGCATAAATCTGGCTTAGTTCTTTTTTTCTTTTTTTTTTTTTCCCCTCCTTGGTGGTAACACCTCGCTTCCCTCCCCGGCTTTACTTCCCATTTGTTCCCCACTCAGGGAAGCCAAGGCAGACGGCTACGGGCACCGCTGTCCCCTGGGTCCTGAGACATCCCTGCACACAGGGAAGAAAAGAAAATCTTGATTGCTTTAAACAGTAGCAAGCGGTTTTCACTATTTCAGATACACAGGGAGCGAGTCAGCTCAGTCCTTAACTGTAATTAGTATCTGAGTGAGGTCTGGATTAAAAGAAAGTCAAACAAATACGTTGTCCTAGGGTAATGTCCTAGGGCATGGTGCACAGTGCAGGAGAGCCCTTTGCCCAGCTCCAGCTACCACTGGTGCAAAGAAGCCCTTGCTTCAAAGGTACCTATAGCAGTAGCAGTTGTGGGTTGTTTTTTATTTTATCCCTTCTTTTCACGTGGGAATGACAAAAAGGTTTCATCTACCTGTGAGAGCATGTCTTGAAGACACAGGTAATAGGCAGGAGAAGGGTGAAATGAGCTCTGGTTCGTGTCTAAGGGGCTCCAGGATCGGGTCCAGCATCTCACTGGCAGATGTCCCTTAAATGTGATGGGCAACAGCCACCCAACCCGGGAGACACTGTCTGCAGGGAAAGATGGTTTCCAAAAATCTCCCTAAAGGGAAACACAGCGCACCCCGTCTCTGTCCAGGATTTGGGCTCCGATCTTGCTTGGGAGGAGGTTTTTGAACCTTCCTGGGTTTCAGCTTGTCACTTCACAGTAACACGGACCCACTTTGGTTCCCTCTGACAAAGCCCAGCTCCTGAAGCAGCAAAACACGGCTAACGCTGCCACCTGCTACACTGACATTTTTTTTCGGTAAATCTACTGAGCAAATCTAGAAATCCAATCTAGGGAAAAATTTGTAAGTCTCATCTGATGTGTTCAGAGATAAATTCCTGGTGTCGTTGGCACCCAAGCATCATCTGGGACCCCTCCATGGTGAAAGACGACTCTTGGCTAGAGCCGTTTCGCTCTTTGCTGTGCCGGTGTGAAGCCTGACTTGCCTCCTGGTGGAAGGTCTCATTACAGCAAGGACGGTTTCCAGCTCCAGGAGCTTTCAGAAAAAGCAGGACATGAGCTGCGAACACCTTCAGACGAGGCCGACAGGGAGGCAGGTATCAGCACGGTGCTAAACCAGAGCCAAGAGGTCACCACATGGCCCAGCTCCGCGCACGGAGGAGGAATGAGGCGTCCACGTCACGTACAGCGGCACAGGGCTCTCGTAACCCGGCATACCCCACGAGCAAAGCAGGCAAAATGAAAGAGCCCACAGCCCTGGGAGCTAGTGCGTGTCTGCTGTGCTAGCGATGCTGCAGCTCTCCTCACAAGCTCTCCTTTGGACAATAGAGTATTATACAATATCTCTTACAACAGTTAAAACATATATATATATATTTACAGGTTTTTATCCCGCTGAATGAAGGCAGTATCGAAGCATGCAGGCCGTGTTAGTACAGCTCAGTGGCAAGCTGAACTTACAGAGGCCTCGTACCAAGCTTCACATGATGTTCAGCCAGGTGAGAGGACTCTGAAGTTTATTTTATTCCGTAATCAGAGCAGAGTTTTTCCCTCCTGAATCCCAGTCGCGCAGGCACAGCCGCACACTCATCCTCCTGTCCTCCTCGATGGTGATTCCCCTCTGTCTAATCATTCTGCCCCTACCCAGCACCTTTAAAATGCCTTAGACACCACGACCATGCATACCACTGTCCTTCAGAGGAGGTAGGTAGCTGTGAAACGTATTAGAAATGCATCTGTGATGAGTTCTTGTGCTCGGGCGTCTTTACAGCCAGGAGCCGCCGAGGAGCAGAGATCCTCAGAGGGTTTCAGAAGTGCAAGGTAATGAGTGGAAATTTCGAACTATTGAAAATCCCAGCAGGTCCCTGCGCGTCTCCCAGCTCCCACCCGCACGCATCTGCCCGTCCGCGGATCGGATGAGCCTGCGCAGGCATCCAGAGCCACGTCTGGCTGCTGCCTGCACGGGTCACTTACACCGTGTGTACGACCTCCCGTGCACCATCTCTGCCACAGCCCGAAACTCGTCTGTCTGTCTTTCCCCAGCTCTGCTGTCAGAGCGGTATCTCTTCAGATCAGAACCTAGACACAGCCGTACCTCGGCGGCTCTCTTTTTGCAGTCAGGTCTTCTCTTGTTTGTTTGGGGTTTTTTTTGTGTGTGTGTGTGTGTGTGTGAAACAAACTTCATTTTTGACCTGGAGGGATCTTTAAAGGGTCGGTGACTGCTCGTATCTATAAACCTCTAACCGGTACACGCCTCTGGCTGCCTACCTGACTCTCCATCTCTGAAAGGGCAGCAAGGCAGGCAACAAGCGTTTGCTTTGCAATGAGCAGAGCTACTCTCCAAACAAACACCGAATCAGAGCTGTGTGGCCCCCTCATTAGCAGTCTAACATCAAGGACTTTCATGCAGCAAAATTAACTATTTTTTGTAGGGTGTTTAACAAAAGAAGAGATACTAATGAGGTTAGTTAAAGGGTGGCCCTCTTTCATTAGCTCTGCTGGGCTAAGTCTGCCAGTGAGGAACTATCAAGAAGATTGCTTTTTTTAATTACTCTGTTAATTGATATAAAACAAAAAGGACGCAGATTAGTTGCATGCAATTAGCAAATTAATTCTTGGCAATTACAGACTTAATAATGGAGTACTTTTGCTGCTGTGTGTTGGATTCTGTGGCCTATATTCATTGCCTGTATGAGCTGAATAATTTATTTTTTATTTATTTTTAAAAAGGAACAAGAGTTAAACATAGACATGTGCACGTTTATTTGGAATTCTCTCAATAGCTTGATGAGGAAGATAAAGTGTATTTTTCACCTTTGACACGGCAGTGCCTCGTAGCATCTGTATTGCCTTGTTAACACTGAAGCCTAAGGTGACGGGTAGCACAGCGCTGCCTTCTTGCCTAATTCTGACTCCTGTGCTTATGGCTTCAGTGAGACAAGAAGTTAGACACCGGATTCAGTTTCTTTCTGAATGGGGCCAATGGGCAGGATATTGGAAATCAGGTCCTTAGGGTCTAACCTCAATCTAGGACTCTTCCTAGGCTGCAGCGCTCTGGCGGATCAAGTAGGCTGAAAAACACCCCAATTCTCCTGGAGAAGTCACAGTATTGGGGCGGTTGCTATTGAATGATTACAGCAGAATAATGATGATGTCAAATGCCCTTTGCGATACACGGCCATCACCCAGCAGTTGGATGTTCTCTCTCCTGGACACTGCAGGAGGAGGAGGAGGAAGGCTGGAGGGCAGCGAGACATCTGGTTGTATCTGTCTGTTGACCTCGGGTGGGCAGGATGTTGGGATGGAGAGACGGTGGTACATCCCCACACAAGGAGTGAATCAGCACCGAGACTGAAATATGTCACGGTGTTTGACTCCAGGCTGGGGGAATTTTACGTTATTTAGTGTTCAGACTGAGAATTGCTAGAATGACTACTGCGAAACCACCTGTCGGGTTACGATATTTTGGAAGAGGAGGAGAAAGCAAAGCAGGGGGGATTGCCTCCTCTGAAATCTGCCCGTTACACAGATGGGGCAGTTCCATGAACCACAGCAGCAGCGAGCCAGTTATCCATGCCCACAAGACTCTCCTTGGGTCTCAGCGTTCCTCCCCCTCTCTTCTCTGTTTTTTCTCTTTTCTTTCCAGGTGAACTCGTCGAGAATTCAATGGCCATGTCCATTGCTTTGCTTGTGTTGCTTCCCATTTTTTTTTTATTTTACTCAAGACTGAGCCCATGTGTCTTTGCAGGCTGCTAACAGGCAGTGACTGTGGGGAGAAGGGTTCTTGGGGGAAGACAGACACACACACACAAATAGGGGTTGATACCTATACACAGAAATGCTAAATCCACAGAAGTTTAGAGAAGAAAAGTTTTCTCTCTGACTTTAGTCTGCTGGGGATTGTCATTCTGGTCTGTATTTGGAGAGCATCTAGCACAGCAAAGGGCTGTGGTGGAGGCTCCCGCTTCTTTTTTTCAGTCAAATTAAGATGAGCATCAGTAATTCCTGATTTGGATTGTGAAATGTTAGTGAGGCTGTCTGTGAACCACAGGTTATAGAGAGGTAGCGAACAAAGGAGTTCACATCCAGTGTGATTAATTTACAAACTGAAATAGTCGCTATATGCTCCATGTTTCCCCCTGACACTGATCTTTACTGGGTGTATAATACGATGTAATTCCTCTGGTCAGCTGTCAAGTACTCAAAAATGTCCTTGCTGGCAGTTGAGACACCATATTCTGCTGGGTAATTGATCTGATTCCATATATTAAAATAGTGAAAATAGTCACTGAAGACATTATTAGTGCATCTATTTCTTCCCGTACAAGCTCTCATCTTTTAAACGAGCAGGGGAATGAAACCCTCTCTGGAGAAAGGGCGTGCAGGTATGTGTGCAACGAGAAGTCTTGGGGAACCTCTCATGGGAACAAACAGCCTCGCAAAGTTTCACTGCAGGAGGCTTTCTTCAGGCATCCATCTCCCTACAGCTATTTCAGAGCTTTCTGGGTTGAAATTCGCCTTTAAATCGTTACTGGGAGAAGAGCTATTTAATTTCATTGTTACTTTAAGACACATGCTAACGGTGGGATTTTTCTTCATCACATTCCTTTTGTTATTAGCTGCCGTCAGGAGCTTTTCGCCAAGAATATATAATATTCATTAATATAAACCGGTCTGTTTCCATCTCATTTCTTCTAAAAACCTGTCTGACTACTTTTTAAACTTAGAAATATTGGACATACCCTAAGTGACTCTCAGGTAAGCGGGAAAGATCATCCAGTGTTTTGTTTCACATGAATTCTCAGTATTGACAGGGAGGAACCTGCAAAAGGAATAGACCAGATGCACACTTAAAGGGCTCTGAAGCAAGATAATAACCCAGCAGACAATAATTATCGAGTATTCTTACAACTTTCCAGGCCCAGAGTTTATTTCCAAGGCCTCTCTTCTCAGTACCAGTTTCTCGATTTGTTTAGCGATGAACTGCTGAGTAGCTCAGACTGAACTCCCTGGCACCGCGAGCATTAACATAGAGGATGGACAGGGCTAACGTGACGGTGCCAAGGGAGCACCATGACTTCTCAGGAAGCGTTGGGCTGTTTCTAAACAGAGATAAAAATCGGAAAGCAAAAGCCTGAAGAGCCAGCTGTAAAATGAAGTCAGAGCCTCCGTACTCAAGTGCTACACGTTTGCATCACTGCAGCGCGTGGATTTTCTCCACGTGAATTGTAGCTGCTCTGAAGTCGGGCGGTTGGACTGGGCTGAAGCATCTGCAGAGAGGCAGTGCCTGGGAAGCGTCAGCACGAAGGTGTGATTGTACCCCGAGGGTCAGATCCTGCCCCAGTCCCCGCTCCAGCCAGTCCCTCTAATCCGGAGCAGGTTGTGACCCTCATCGTTTTATTTTCCCCCTGATGTAGGGCCCCAAAGCAGAGGCTTTTAAAGTCGTTTTTATGGTCCTTTTTTGACCATAGAAACCCTCCACTGAAAACAGAGCCCCTGATCAAGGTGCAGGGAGAGCACAAGCAGGACTGAACTGTGACCTGGCCCTATATGGGGTTTTTTTTCTGGAAATTGCCATGGAGTGGGTGAGGGGTGTTGCATCAAAACGACAGCAGCCGTGGGGCTGCCCAGGCACCTTGGTGGGGTTTTGCTTCAGGAGGCCACCAGTGCCACCAGCATGCTTGTCCTCCCAGCCCAGCCCCAGCTGAGGCAGAGAGCGCCAGCTGGAATGTCTCTGTTCCTCTCCCCGAGGAAATTCGGACTTGGGAGGCTGCTTGGCAGAGGGTTTTGAGGGAGCGGCCCCGCAGGAAGGCAACTTGCTGCCTTGTGCTTTTCATTTGCTGGTGTTTTCTCTTTCCTCCTCTCGTTTGTCTTCAGTGCCCAGCAAAGCCCAGCTATTGTTTAGGATATATTCCTTCCCACTTATCCAAGCTTTTCAAAGGGAATTATTCCATGTAACTGTCCTCCTTTCACTCACTTCCTTTCCTGCAAAAACATGTGCCTTGCTTTAAATTCTCTCTCTCTTTTTTTTTTTTCCCTAAATGAGACATCTTGTTTATTTTTTTCCCCTGTCTTTTCTCCCCCCTTAGTGCGGCTGCTTCTCCTGCTGGCGCTGCATTGCTGGTTGCCAGAGAAATGTTTTTCTTTCACTTTTATTGTAATTTATTGATTTTTTTTTTCTCCCTTATGGGCTCAGAACCTTTTGCTTCTACCAAATAAGGCACTAGGCATTAACAGCATACTATATACAACTTATAGTTAAAATAATGAGGGCACGCTCGTATCCAACACAGTCAGTTAGAATATGAGAAGACCCAAGCCACAAGACAGGAGCCAGCAGCATTATCTGTCTGAACTCTCCATCTCTTCCCACACATTGAGGACGTTTTTTCTTGCACTTCTGAGGGGTTTCTGCCTTCCCCTGCTCCCTGGCTCCGTAGCCAGCGGTCCTGCCTGCTCCCCTCTCCGTGTGTAAATGGGTTGTGATTTGTTGGATTCAATCATTGCTTTCTCTTCAGAGGCTCTGGGAGGGAAAGCCATGAGCGCTGACTTCGAGGAGCTGGCACCACCTCCTCTGCTTCTGATGTAACCCCCTCCTAGCCAACACTCCCAGTCCTTCGGGAGAATTTTAATTGTTATTTCCAGGGAACTTCTACAGAACTGGAGGGAGTTCTTTCCTCTCCAACCCTTGCTCAGCGTACTGGGCAGCCATACCCCCGCTTTTCCTGACTGCTTTGGTTTCCACTCACTTTTCTGCGGTGCCATCCCCATGCGTGCAAAGATCTCCATACGATGATGGAGGAGGGTACGATATTTTGGTCCTGTTTATCTGAGATGGTGTTCTCCCACATATCCCATTGGCTTCAGAGTTGCATGGGCTGAGATCTTGCAAAATCCAGATTTTTGGGGACTAACCTGCTAAATCTGTTCCCTAGTATCTCTCCTGAGCTGACTCTGACCTTTCAGAGACCTCGGTGAGCAGGGAACATGGCACGTAGACTGGAAGCTAATTCACTACAATGCACGACACATTTGGCATTAAACAAAAAAATAATGTAAAGCAAAACTCAGTCAAAGATTTCTATGGATGGTGTCACCTTTCTACCCAGCTGCCAACCTGCAGATCCCTTTTGCCTTCTGCCACTCTCCCCCGCCACCTCCAGCCTCTTGACACAGTATCATCTATGTGTGCAGCAGAGTAGGAATCGCATCAGTTAGTGCCCAGTAATGTTTAGGGCAAAACTCTTCCATAAGTAGTTTTTGGCTTTTTAAACTGAGAAAAACACTTGTGGAACAGAGTGCTGCTCTGGGGCTGGGTCTCCTCGGCACTGTCATAGTAACAATTATTTGTATGTTGTTTTTTCCAGATTTTTTTTTCCACTGACTGCAGCAGGATGAAAAAAATAAAAACAAAAAAACCCCCCACAAGCCAACATTCAACGTATCAGTATCTTTTTTGCAGATTTTTTTTTTTTTCACATACACAAACATTCAGGGACAGAAAGATGCATTTGCCAGTTCATCAAGATATACATTAGTCTTCCTAAGTATAGGTTCAAGGAGTTGTGTCGTATCCTCCAATTTTTTCTTACACCTACGACCATATTTCATCAATAAATTTGCTATCTAGACAGTACACAAAACTAAAATTGGACCAGCAGCTGACAGCCTGGGGACTGAGCTAGGGACTGTCAGAGCTGGCAGTGTTTGCTAATTGAGTTAAAAGACAGACACCCTTTTTCTTAACTGGGAGAGTCTGACACATTTTCCAGGGTCAGGCAAAACAGGATTCCCCCCCCACACCCCCCAACTCTTACCAAAGGGTCTCTTTTTAAGCTGCAAGACAGACTTGGATGCAGGTATCCGAAAGCTTGCGTGGTTCAGACTGTGTTATTTGCTTTTTCACAGTCAATAGGCAATCGTACATGACAACAAAATATTGGATCTCGCCTGCAGCGCCGTATAGCCTTTTTCTTTAATGTGCCAACACTGAGAAAGAAACTTCCACAAGTCGTGCAAATCACTACTGGTCAAACGAAAACTTCACTGTAGCATGAAATGTGAAGTGGCACCTTAGCTACAACTAATGGAGCTATCATGGTCCTAAAAGTAACTCTCGGGGCACCTTAAAGGGATTTGTTTCTTCGCGTTCAGCCTCCCTGTCTTGCGGGGACATTTTTCATTGCTTGTCTCTTCGTCCCCATTTGGGTTCATTGTTAATCATCAGGCGCCAGGACTTCCAGGCATGTAAGAGCATGCTTGGAGAAAGCTTGGACAATGCATCATTTCAGGTGAGGATAATTCTGAGCTCATTACGACCTTGAATATACTGCAGATAAAAATACCGTGCGGGAGGGTTTGGGGATCTGTTCTTGGAAGAAGAGTTCAGCTCAGGCAAAGTGTCGGGAGTGCTGCAGTGGCACTGCAGGCTCGCAAGACCCAGGTGAGGCCAAGGGAGGTGTAAAACCACCACAGGTCAGCTTCTGCCTCAGAACAGGGTGCCGAGCTCACCCTCAAACCTGGCTTAGCCTGGCAGCGCTCAGCTCTGCCCGCTGCCTCTGCCAGGCTGGCCCAGAGGATGGAGTCCAGCCACAGTCCCATGGAAAGGTCCAAACTGGTCCGACACCAGTGGATGTGGCTTGGCTAGCTCACAGCCCATCTTTAAATTGCCCCTCGGTAAAGAGAAGAAACTGATTGTGGAAAAGGAAACATTACATTTTAGGGTAATGAGCTAGGACCCCACCCTGTAGCTAATTAAAACTGTGGAAGCCTTATTTCAGCAATCAACCTAAATCTTAGCTACAAGCACAGCAAATATTTTTTTTTCCCGTTTGTGGCTTTGTTTTTCTGTTAGCAAGTGCGCAGGGGAAGAGAAAGAGAAAGCTTCTCCATGGCAGGAGAAGCTGTTTTGAGCTTATTTCTTGACTGTGCAGGTGATGCAGTTCCTACAGGGGCAAACAGTCTTTCTGCTCTTATTTAGGTACAGCCGCCAAACGTGGAGATATTTCAGTGCTTCGGGTGCTGATCTAGGATGAGCAGATACTTTAAAAATAATCAAAAAGAGAGAGAAATAGGTAACTCATCTCTCCTGAGCTTCAGAGGTGGGTTGGTTCAAATTTTAGGCGAGTTGTATCTCACTTTATCTGCGCTGCCTGTTCTCCCCAGCTGAGCCCCATTAATGCAGAGCTTGAGATCCCCTGCCCAGCATTTCTAAATGGATGGAGGAATCCTCCTGACGCACGTGCGAGGTGAAGATGTGTAAGAAAAACCTCAATTTAGTATTTTATTAAGAATTAGGCATCCAGATTTCTCAGACAGCTTTGCAATATCAGACATGAAGCACAAAGGGATCTTTTCCCTGGCTCAGGGGCATGACGCACTCTGTAGACCCGGCACAGAAGAACGGCTCTGGTCTTCCCCACTCAGAAAATTGTGGTTTTCTTCCTCAAAGGCTCTTAATTTTATTTATATCATGAAATATTGTGGGAAAAAAAATCCTGATCTGTTAGGAAGCTGCACTACTAGCAAGCAGGCAGATGCTGTGTGTGCTATCAGGGAAAAGACAGAGAGACCTTTTCCTGCTAGCTTTTTTTTTTTGGGGGGGGGGGAAAGGTATGTTCAAGTTTCATTACAGAA